AAGGTGACATTTCGGTGACTAAATTGTTAGTCACTGAAAGTTGTACCGTAAAATTATTTCCAACGAGTAGAGACTAAATATTTTGGTCGCCAATAGAATACATAGTTTTAGCGACCATGGAATTTTGTCGATGTGACTTTTGCCGACTACAATTGATCGTAGCCAAAAACCTCTTAGGTTTCACTTCATTATTTTTTGCCACCAAACGTTTTAGTTGCCAAATGATGCCCTTTTTTTCCGTGACTAAAAAATTTAGTGGGCAATAGTTTCTTTCTCTCATTCTCAATTGTTTTAGCTACTAACTATTTGGTTGCAAAAACTTTTTTGGTTATGTTTTTACTACTAAATTATTAGTCGTCAAAACATTTGATTACGTATTTGGCTACCAAAATATTTGGTGGCCAAATACTTTTTTGTTGTTGTTGTCGTTTTTTTTTTAAAAAAAAATTCTAAACAACTTGTATCCATTATCAGTACAACCTGTACCTTGTATAAACAATATAAGCCATCAACGCTAAATATATTATCAACCATTCAACAACGTCCACACATTTCACTTCCAACCATCCAAAAATTTATATTGAACGTCCAATTCTATATATAATACAAATTTCATACGAACCAAGTATAAACCAATGTCAATAATTTAATTCCATACATAATACAGGAATAACCAAATTAATTACCAAAAAGGACATATGTACCACAACAAAAATTTAATCTGTACTGCCCCAAAACTATTTTGTACCACGTGCTATGCTAATTTCTACCATGCCAAATTAGCTGATATTTACCACACCAAAAAAGTAATTTGTACAAACCAAAGAGTAAATCTAGAGACAGTAAAAGTCAAGGTAACCCTAGCTTCACTTGCTTTCACTGTGGCCAGGAGGGTCACATAAAGAGGAACTGCCCAAGCTGGAAAGATAAAGGCCAAAGCAGTAAGTCAAAGGGAGATGAGAACACGACAGCCACAACAATTGATGAAATACTTCTTGCAGTTGGTGAAGAGGAAGATTGTCTTCACATGGCTGACCACAACTATACAGAGTGGGTGATAGATACAGCTACATCCTATCATGCCACTTCCCATAAAGAACTCTTTAGCTCGTACAACGCTTGAGACTTTGGCACTGTTCGAATGGAGAATTCTAGCTATTCAAAGATTGTGGGCATTGGAGACATTAGTATTCTGACTAATGTCGGACACAAGTTGATTCTCAAAGATGTGAGGCATGTTCCAGATTTGCGCCTCAATCTTATCTCTGGAAGTGCCCTGGACTGATAGGGCTATACAAGTACATTCGGAAATGGCCGTTGGAAGCTGACAGGAGGAGCTTTGACAATCGCCAGATGAGAGATGTCTTTAACACTGTACAAGACTGAAATAAAGATCTATCTAGAAAGTCTTAATGCAACAGAAGACAAGGAGTCACCAGACTTATGGCATAGAAGACTAGCTCACATGAGTGAGAAGGGATTATATCTATTAGCAAAGCAATCCAAGATACCCTTATCCAAATGGAGTATCCTAAAGCCGTGTGATCATTGCCTTTATGGCAAGCAGCATCGAGTATCATTCAGTTCAATGAGCAAGAGGAAAACAAAAGTACTTAGTATGGTATACTCAGATGTTTGTGGCCCAATCAAAATGGAGTCACTTAGCGGCCGCAAGTATTTTATGACCTTCATTGATGATGCATCAAGGAAGTTGTGGATGTATTTCCTGAAGACGAAGGATGAGGTATTCTAGCACTTTCAGGAGTTCTATGCAATGGTGGAAAGAGAGATCGGAAAGAAGTTGAAGTGTCATCGCACAGATAATGGTGGCAAATACACTTTCAATACTTTTGAAGCATATTGTGCTAGCAGAGGTATCCAACACAGGACAACAGTTCCCGGTACCCCATAACACAATGGTGTGGCAGAAAAAATGGACTGCACTATTATTGAAAGAGTCAGATGTATGCTCAGAATGGCAAAGTTGCCAAAGTCATTCTGGATTGAAGCCGCCCGTACAGCCTGTTCTCTCATCAACAAGTCACTTTCAGTCCTGTTGAATTTTGTGATACCTGAGGAAGTCTGGTCCAGAAGAAAGGTATAATATTCTTACTTGAGAGTCTTTAAGTGAAGGCGTTCACACACATCTCCAAGGGAAACAGACAGGAGCTTGATAACAAGTCCACTCCATGCATATTTGTAGGCTATTCAGATGCAGTATTTGGGTACAAGTTGTGGGACCCAATGAACAAGAAGATGTTCAGGAGCAGAGATGTTGTGTTCCATGAAGACCAGACAGTAGTAGATTTTGAGAAGTTTGTCTAGAGATGTCATCACTCCAGACTTGTTTCCATCTCCCGAGCCATCACAAAATGCAAGATGTGATGACGTGCTACAAAAAGTGCCAGAGTTGCAGGATGCTATGCCAGAAATTGAGAATCAGGAAGAAAGAAATGAAGACACAGATGAAGAAGGTGTTGAGCGGGGGGAGCAACCCCCTCAACCAGGGGCAACTGGGCCTCAATTGCGGAGATCTGAAAGAGCTGTCGTGCCATCAACCAAATATCCCGCTTCTCAGTATATTTTGATTACTGATGATGAGGAGGCCGAGAGTTTTTCAGAAGCAAAGAGTCATACAGAGAAAGATTGTTGGATGCAAACCATGAAGGAGGAGATGAGTTCTTTGCAGAAGAACCACACTTATGAGCTTATTCCATTTCCAAAAGATAGGAGAGCCTTGAAAAACAAATGGGTGTACAAATTGAAGAAAGATGGCAACGGTGCTAGAAAAACTGGAGGTAGAACAGATAGACATCAAGACTGTCTTTCTCCATGGTGATTTGGAGAAAGAGATCTATATGGAGCAACCAGAAGGATTTGAAGGCAAAGGGAAACAGAATCTAGTCTGCAAACTGAAGAAGAGTCTCTACAGCCTGAAGTAGGCGTCGAGACAATGGTATAAGAAGTTTGATTCATTCATAGTAGATCACGAGTACACAAGAACAGGAGCAGACTAGTGTGTATATTTCCAAAGATTTTTGGATGAAAATTTCATCATCCTACTGTTATATGTTGATGATATGCTAATCATCAGACAAGATATTGCTATGATCAACAAGTTGAAAAAGAACTTGTCGCAGTATTTTGACATGAAGAATTTAGGCCCAGCACAGTAGATTTTGGGCATAAAGATTGTTCGTGACAGGAAAGCCAAGAAGATATGGCTGTCACAGGAGAAATATATTGAACGAGTGATTGAAATGTTTAACATGAAAGATGCCAAGCCAGTCAGCACACCACTGGCCAACCATTTCAAGGTGACAAAGCGTTTGTGTCCCACGACTAACTCTAAAAGGAAAGAAATGAAGGCAATCCATTATTCTTTTACAGCAGGGAGTTTGATGTATGCAATAGTGTGTACCTGGCTGGATAGAGCTCACACAGTTGGCGTTGTGAGCAGATTCCCCACCAATCTAGGAAAGGAGCATTGGGAGGTAGTCAAATGGATTCTTCGGTACTTGAAGGGAACTTCAAAGATGTGTCTATGTTTTGGGGGAGCTAAACCAATTTTGGAGGGTTTTACAGATGCTGATATGGCGGGAGATCTTGATGGTAGAAAGGCTACATCAAGATTTCTATTCACTTTTGCAGGGGGAGCTGTTTCATGGCAGTCCAAACTACAAAAGTGTGTTGCTTTATCTACAATAGAGACAGAGTACATTGCTACTGCAGATGCTGGAAAGGAAATGTTGTGGTTAAAGCAGTTTCTCTAAGAATTGGGTCTACAGTAGGAAGAGTACAAGGTACATTGTGCTAGTCAGAGTGAAATTGATCTGAGCAAGAATTTCGTGTACCATTCTCGCATAAAGCACATTGATGTCCGGTATCATTGGATACGAGAAGTGATGGAAACACAGTTGATGAAGCTAGTAAAGATTCACACGGACAAGAATCCTTCTGACATGATGACCAAGGTTGTCACCAGAGACAAACTGGAAGTTTGCAAGAATCTAATCAGGATGGATTTCAAGTAAGAAGTTAGTTATCCATATAGGCATAGAGGAGGAGAATTGTTAACTCCAGCACACATGGAGTAGTTGGAGGTTGGAGGTTGAGTCTCCAAGTCAAGAAGTAGAAGAGAGATTGCAGGTGAAGCCAACCCAATAACTCCTTTCACTTGACTTTGTTCCCTCTTTTTTATGTATAAATAGAGGCTTAGAGGAAGAGAAGAACAACACAAAAAAGAAGGCAACACAGAGTATATGTATCTGTGAGGTGAGAGTGCTATAGAGAGAGAGTGTGTGTGAGGTGTGTGAGTTGTAACTCCCTCTGGGAAAAATTCTATAGTGGATATTTGTCCCGTGGACGTAGGCAATTACTGAACCGCATAAATATCTTCTCTTCTTTCTATGTGTGATTGATTTTCTGGAGTGTCTTGATCTTAACACTTCGTTGCCCTTATCCCAGTCTTGAATTCATCTTGTAAAAGCTTCCAATTTGTTGGTTGGTCTGTAAATTACGATAAACACACAACTGGAATGCCCAAAACCAGACTCTCTAATGTAAAATTCCAACCACAATGAGCCACGAAACATCCCACAGAAGGGTGAGAAAAAACCTCCACTTGGGAACACCATGGCTCTATCAAACCTTGTTTTTCCAATTTTTCTTTGCAACTTAGTTTGTCTTCTTGTTTCTCACTATCTACTAAAGCTCTTAACATCCACAAGAATGGCTAATTGCTTTCCAGTAACCGACGTGCAATCTCTTCAATTTCTTGCAATGGCAAATTAAAGAAGCTTCCGAACGAAATGTACACGACTAATGATTGGAGCTTCAAATCCAAGCACTCCACATAATCCCTTGATTTTTGTAATAGGTTGCCCCCAAAAGCATTATCAGACAAATCTTCTCAATCTAAAAATGCTGATGGAACTAGCGGACCTATTGCAATCAGGTTGTGCTTCCCAATAACCCTTAATGCCTTGGATTCCAATTCATCAAAAGTGTTGACTAGTATTTTTAACTTTTGTATCAAGTGCATCTAGCTGTTCTTTTAATGCCGGTAATCCAACACTAAATGTATTATAAGGAAGCATGAATATGGGAACATCACAACTAGTGAGCTTTCCCAATTCGGGTAATTCAATAGCACATGAAGGGTGATCGCAGATTTTCTTAACCAAATCACCATAGCCATTAAAATAATAGAAATACAGAGCGAAAATAGTGGCAGGTTGAACCCAAAGAGGCGCGGAGGGAAGGTTGAATTCATGAGCAACTTCAGTTACCCATGGAAGGAGCATTGCATAGACCACACCTGTTATAAGGAAGCCTTCCTCAGAGTTGGCCTTGATGAGTTCAAAGAGGGCTTTGGAGCCATGACACTTGTTTTCAGACCTGAAGTGTTCATGATTATCACTCAACTTGAATCCATCGTCGTATCCATCGGAGAAGGAAACGAAGTTTAGGCCAGCTAGGGTTTGAGAAGAAGCTTTTGTTATGCGATTATGGGCAAAGACACTTGAGAGTATGGTGACCTTGACACCCATTCTTGTTAGGGTTGAGGAAGAAATCCGTAAAATCTGTAATCCGATCCGGTCTAGTTCAATCTGATAGGTTTGGATTGATTTTTTGAATCTGTGGTTCGGTTCCAGTTTGAAAAATTAAAAATCCATAGTCCATAAATCGGTTCGGGATAGAACCCTACGATTCCGGATTGGAACTGATCCAAACCGTATACAAATAACCTATATTTATATTATACACCATCCCGCATAGTATCTTCTTTTATTGCTTTTGTTTGTTAGTTTTTAGTTTTAATTTGTAATGATCTAAATACTTATAGTTGAACTAGTTTTCTTATGATTGTTTAAATTCTAGAATAATCTGTCGCTATTATGGAAAGACATGTTGCTATTATGGAACTCATATGATGCTATGTTTTTGTTTTTATGAAATTAAAATGTTCTACATTTTTTTTGTTATTTAATTATATGAATCTGTGGTCCTAAATCGATCCAATCCGTGTTTAAATAGATTGATTCAGATTAGTTCCATGATTTAAACGGATTGGATTGGTTCCAATTTTTCAAGAACTGTAGATAACGGATTGGTCATGATTTTACCCCAATCCGGATCATGCTCGCCCATAATTCTTATGAGGTTCTTGGCCAATTGGATTGCTGGATTTAAGGCTCCTTGAGTTGGAAAAGAAACGAGGACTATAGGCTTTTTTGAAAAGTGGGTTAGTAGCTAAAATCATCTTTTCACCTATTTTAGATCACATCATCTCTCACACTTTTTATACGTTTTTTCAAAAAAAATAAAGAATAAAAAAAGTCAAAAAATTAACTTTTAACCATCTTTCCAAAACAATCCTATGTGAATACGCACCATGATGGGTAATCAATTGAATAAGAAAATGTTCATTTGGATTGAAGAAATTTATGTATAGAGTTCTGTTGAGTGAAGAAGATCGTATATATGGGTTGAGATGGGAAGTTATTGATCAATCTTGGGACACCACTAGGTGGTACCCTAATGGTTCATTTAGGATGTGGGTTGGTTTCTTAACTTTTTGGTTATTTTAGTTTAGGGTTAAAAATCTCGTTTGAGATGGCCTTTTTGACTTTTTATTTTTATTTTTGTGAGAGAAAAAATAAAATGATTATGGTTTAGATGTGTCATTTTGTCTTATTAGTTTTTTAGCATATTTTGTCCTTTTGTTGTTATTTTAGCCAACAGCAATGGTAGGTATCATGAAAAGTCTTTCATGAAAATGATCATGAAAGATTTGTGACCTTTGAATTACACTTAGAATAAAGCACCACACACTAATCAAGATATCTAAGGGTCACAAATTTTTCATGATCATTTTTATAAAAAAAATTTCATGATCCCTAACATTCCTCTTTAACCAAAAAGCCCAAAACTTCTTCATGCCAAACAAGGCTGTGAATGGTAAAGGAGGTGTGGTTCACGATTTTACTTTGAATGATTTGGGAATATGAAGGGATATGGTAAATTGTGAGTAATAAGGAGCAAAATATGTCGAGCCCCAAGAATACCAAATAATTTTTAGTTGTAACTATGGAGTGTTTTAAGAAGTTGGTTAAAAGTTAATTTTTTGATAAAAACGTGAGAAGTGATGTAATTCAAAATGAATTAAAAGTTATTTTTTTTATTTTTAACTCTCCTCCCAAATAGGACATGTGTAATGACGCGTGGGATGACGTTTGTTTGGGTCTTTTTTTATATAAAAAAATTGTATTTGAAATTTGAAAGTGCAATTTGGTTAAGTTGTTATCAACAATAATATGTTTAATTTATTGGTTACTTTTGGGTTACCGTTAGATCGTGTTTTAATAAATTGTTATGGGTGAAAATATTGAGATTCATGAATTTAGGTTATATAATTAAAAAATATAAAAAATTATAATAAATTGTGATCGATAAGAAATATGGTCCCGTAAGTCTTATTGTACCAATTAATAATTTTTCAAAACGGAGGCAGTTGAAGAGTATTAATTGATTTTGAAAAGGGCGGTCCCGAATATAAATGCTAGTGTCTATCAGAGAATGTGTTGTTTTTGAAAAAAATTATTGATTGATTATATTGATTATATTTATTGATTGACTGATTATATTTGAAAAATTATTGATTTAAGAGTGTCATGTAGTCATTTTTCTTACAAGTAACAATTCATTATATTTTTTTATGTGTGCCAATTACTTAATATAAATTTATAAGTCCCATCATTTCTATCAATTACAACACTGTTACAGTATTTCAAGACTAACCAATAATTTCTCTATTTTTGGTATGCATAAAATAAGTAATTGATTGATTTATTGATTTATTTAAGTCATATTACTTCTCCATTTTTTATATGTTTTTCTGTAATAAACAAAAAAAAATTCAAAAATACGTCATATCCAAAATAAGCCAGTGTATTACTATAGTATACAAGTGTCTTGTATATTTGACTATTATTAATGAAAAAATTTTGTTATTTTAATGTAAAAATTCAATATATTTTTTAGACTCAAATGATATGATAATTTATTAAAGTGTTTAAGGTAAAAATTATATATATATATATATATGTATAAGTAGTTATTAATCAATCATTTTAAGTACACATTATTAAATTTAAAAAGTATGCTGGTATATATATTTTTCCTAATAAAAGTTAGTATATTTGTTTTAGGTGTCAAACCCAACCCCGTTTGGACAAGCTATTTTAACACACAAGCCAAAAAAAATCATTTTAAATTATTACATTATTTTGTTTATCTTTATATACAAATTTTTTTTGTTTTAATAAAAAATTAAAAAATCAATTCTAAAACCATACCAACGTGCCCCGCATCCACAACAATCATCAAACATTAATATATGAAATTTTTATTGATAAATTTCATTTAGAAATGTTTTAATTTAATAAGTTCATGAATTTTTTTTTAACCTATTTAGTTTCATGTATCTATAGTTTTATTTCATAAAGTCTTTTTTCTTGATTTACACTAATCAAAGGATAAAAAAATTTCATGATGCATTTGATAATTTTTTTCATGATTCCTAGTATTATTCTTAATATTGATATTTAGGCCTCGTTTGGGAACATGATTTTTTAGTAATTTTTTAACTTTTTAACTAAAATGTGATGTAAAAAAAATTAGTATGTTTGAGATATTTTTTGGCTTTTTACAAAAAAATGTGCAAAAAGTAGAGAGAAAAGGGAATCTTTGACTTTTTGGTATAGGTTGTTGACTTTTTGATTTTTTTAGTAATTTTTTGATTTTTTAGATAAAATGGACACTTGCCAAACGAGACCTTAATGTTCATATTTAATATTGGAAGAGGAGAGATAAGGGAATGGACCAAGGCATAGGCAATTTAATACACAAATTAAATAACATTGATGCCATTATTTTATATTATTAGATAATGCGAATATATTTTGAATTGACAACATATTAAAAATAATGTGAACATTATCTCTCATCCGATGTAAACGCTCACAACATCTTTCTGAAAAATTCTCTTTCATCTAATGTAGTGATGTGAATATTCATAACATGTGAACCTTCTTATTTTTAATTAACAACACATTAAAAATAATATTCATTATATTTTTAATTGATAATACATTCTTATTCACAACATGTAGTGATGCGAACATTCTCTCTCATCTAATATAGTAATATGAACGTTCACATTCATATGTTGTAGTATGAATATTCACATTATGTAATCGACAACGCAATGACAAAAAAGTCATTTCAAGTTAAGGCTTGTGGTTGTGTAATTTGATGCAATGCTAATGTGAGCCGTAACATCACCTTTATCACAATGTCATCTGATGTAAACATTCACATTCACGTCATTAATAAAGACCCATGTTTTATTTTTTTGTGTAATAGATATCAAAATTAAATAGTGACGTGTAGTTAATGCATTTTTTTGGAGAGAAGATATAATGAAAATCAACATTAAATATCAACATTAAT